TAAATCGATCCATTCAATATTTTCTGTGCAAACTCTTGGTATCACTATATCTGTAATAAAGCAATCTTAGAATGTCTACTACTCTCGAAATCATTGAATATATAGATATACGGTGACAGTGTCTATATTTTTATACGTCTCGTAGTTAAATCTACTTTAAGACATAATCTATTTTTCCTTTTAAATAAGCATGCATTTTAAAATAGAGACACTTGGAAACTAAACATTAATTGTGTAATATGTGTCCTTATTGAAACGTTACATTACATTAGAATACTAACCAATGCATTACAAATATCAATATGTGTGGGTGGTTTTTCCTTTACCATATAGTGTTTATCAGAAACCTCTGTACTTTTTCTTCTAAAAGAGTCAATATTCATTTTTATTCTGTGCTGACAGCTACAAATTGATGGCTGGCGGTTATCAAATAAATGTTGATGAAAAGTGGCTACTTAACATTTTCAGCCCAACAAAGGGTTTGGGAAGGATGGATAATTTAGATCTCAGGGCCTCGACTATAAATAAACAGCAACTGCTTTCTAAATCCCACTTTCCTGTAGTTGAAGATTGTGCTGCAAATCTGACAAATGATTTCTGAAAGAGAATGATGAACTCTTATTACCAAGATACTCTTAACTTAATCCTAAACAAGAATCCTGGGTAATTTTACGAGCATTGTAAAGATTGATGGCACGTTTCTTCTCTGGCAGCTCGCAAATATTTGACTAGATCAGAAATGGCATTCGGGCATGATTAAAGAATCTACTGGGCTTTCTAGAAGTTCTCAGTCCTGTTTCATCTGTACCCTAACTCATTGCCAGTGCTACAGGGTGGAGATACTGCATCCTGGTTCCCGTGACCAGCAACTGCAAAAGTCCTACAGGCTTCCGATAAATTGTTCTTAAAAATAATTTAGGGCAACCCCCAGCTCCAGCCTATGTCAAGGTATTGCTATTATTTTATCGTGATGGATCAGTAAGCAGCGGTGACAACTTGCTAGACATTGCTTCAGATATTTTATAAGAGTTGGTAACGATGTTTCCTTCATATGGCTCGTCTGTCTTTTCTGAATTATATACTGATGCCCCAAAAAGTGGCATGAAAGTAGTCTGAGCATGATTAAATAGCTCTTTTAAATTTGTTTTTTATCGGTTTAAAAATGCTTTATTTTGCATCAGCAGTACCGGCTTATTTACTAATGAGATTTCCCTAATGTGGCTCAGTGTCATTGTGATGATAGGCAGACCGACAGCTGATGAGCCAGAAATTAGAACTTGTTATTAAACTGTCGTCACATCTGCTCATATAAAGATGTCACTCAGAGGCTGCCATTGGTACAGCAGAAAAGAGAATTCCCCAAGAAGCCAAAAGGGTAGTGGGCTTGGGACTAAAAATTAGTGTCACTACTTAATTGTCCAGCAAGAAAGGAAAATAAATTGACTACCAGTTGAACCCAGCATGAATCAGAGAGGGAGACTTCCAAATGGACACAGTTGGTCTTCTGAGTGGAGAAAGTCTTTGCTTTCAGGTGCCCCTACTGTACTGTGTTCTTCTACAGAGCCAGAGGCACCTGTGATGGGATTAAGGCTGCATATCACCCTGAGCCTAGTGGCAAAAGAATCAGAGCCAGCTTTTGATGAAAGATTGGGCTTTTCTAAAATTTATGGTTTTCAGCACAGTAGCCAAACGTAGGTTTCCATGGAATGAGATCAATTGCAATTGCTTTCGGATTCCATGGAGGGAGAATGTATTCCCCCAGCTCTCTCATCAACTCCATTCTGAAATAATGTAATTGCAGAATTTCTTTGCAAAAATACCGTCCCAACAATGCAGGAGTGCAACATGATATCATTTGAGAAGGTCACAGTGGCAAGATATTACGTTAGGTTTGAAAGAATTCTGCTTTTCGCTTTCCCAAGTGGCCTACTTTGATCTTTTCTCAGGATTGGTGGATCTGTGAAAGGCCAGTTTGTCGAGATCTATAAATGCTGATATTGTAATGACTCGAGTGGGGGTGGGGAGCCTGGATTTCGGGATGAGCTGACTGGATTCTTTTACCCCTCGGGAATTGATGGCAAATCACCTGACCACTCTTCCATGGTATGGGCAGCTGCAAAGTAAAATGGAAATCTGAGACAGCTATCCAGAAAATTATGCAAAACGCCATCTTCCCCTGAACAATGCTAAGAGTCGAGGCCGAGATGATATTTGGCTTGCGATGGTGGAATGAGCATCTCACTTCTTCAATTTGTCTTTAGAGGCACTTAGCTTCCCTTTTTTTCCCCATATGAGCTGCAAGGAGTCAGATAAACCTCTCGAAATAAATATTCCAGGTGCTAAACTAAGGGTTATTAGGAATAATAATTCAGTGAAAGAAAATTTGGATGACATGAACTTATTTCCATTAGACTTGAGTTGCGCAAATCAATTTGAAAAGAAACAACTGAATTCAAGAAAATAACTGGCTATCTGGGGAGTGGGCACAGTGAGGCAGTTGAAGTAACCGACTGTTATTTAATTAAGTTTGAGTCATGTCAGATGTTCAAATCCTGGAATAACGGGACTTGTCCAGTACAGTCAAGTGGCCAGGTATGATCAGAACTCGAGCCTCTACTCCTACTCTACTCCACACCCCTCCCCACAATCATGGCCCTTGCTTGTATTTGACCATTTGATTTTCACGCTGACTCAAATATGACAACAGACGATGACACTGAAGCCCTCCCAAAAAACAAACAAACAAACAAACAAAACTTAAGTCTGCCTTATAGCACTTTCCTAAAATTATAATACCTCAAGACCCTGATCCTCAGAATGGCCTTGGCTCCCAGTGGTTCTAGAGAGCAGTGACAGTGAACGCAAACCAAACCACTGGGGAGCATGCACCCGTTTCCATCAGGCACCCTGCTCAGGTATGCTTTAAACTCTGTAGGGGGCAAAAAAAAAAAAAAAAAAAAAATAAGCTTTGGTGGGAACAGAAACAAATTTCTCCCTCATTCAGATGTCCTGAATGTTTTGCTAATGGTGAACCTTATCCCTAGTTACCTCTCTCCTCTTCTGCAACCCCCCATCCCTATCAACCTATAATTTGTTGATACAACAAGGGTTGTGATGCACATAAATAATCATAAGATGCCAGATAAACTGTATTGGTTTTAAATTAGAGCCATGCCTACCGCCTCTCCCTATGAACACCAGCCTATTATTTTTAATTATGGCTTGCAAAGCAAAGTGATTTCTTGCCCTCTTTATAGCATCCCTGACAGTATTCTGTCAGCCCGGATGATATGGTGCCCCGTCGGCACACACACACATCCCTAGCCACAGCGCCAACTGTTACTCAAAAGGTGAAGCCAGCGTGATCAATGACGCTCATTGTAACTCGCATTTTGAAGTGAGCTGGGAGGAAATGTGCCCCCAAGCCACCGTCCCATTGCAAAGATGGGATGAATATGACATTTAGAAAAAGGTTTTCATAGGATCTGGATGAATTAATAAATGTGTCTGCATGAAGCAAGTATACAAGGCAGAGAATATGTATATTATAGGTATGTATATGTGTATGATGGGAAATATGTGTATTTTTAAAAAAACATTTTAATACAGCAGTGAAAACCCTTTCCCTAGCACCACCATGGGCAAAGAATAAAGGAAGATCTGGCACCAGTCCTGCTTGGGTTTTCTCCCTGATGGGCCATTATTAGAGTGGTTGGTTTCATTCTGACAGAAGATTCTAGAAACATCTTGATGTCGAAATACATTATGCACTGAGAAGTCTAGGGGTTCGATGAATTTGTTCTTGAGTGTTCAAAAGGATACCGTCTTCTCCTCTTTTGCTGGGAAGAGATGTCCGACGTGATTTATGGATTTGCGTATTTATTTTCGAAGCCTTTCCTACGCGAGTGTAAAAAGTCACACCAGCTGTACCAGCAGGGTTTATGGACTCGTTTTTGCGAGGCGCTCACATCCGACCTTTTCCAGTCCTGCGCTCTGCGTTCGGTCCCCTCTGCCAATGCGGCGATCCAGATGCCACTGAACCCGGCGGGGAGAGGCTTGCGAATTCCCATGTAGAAAAAAGTTGTCTCGTCACTAATTTTCTTAAAAAAAACACACACACAAATTTTTTTGGTCTTTTTTTCTTTGCTTTCCAGCAACAAGGAGCTGCCACCACCGTCTTCTGCGCTGCTGCTCCCGAGCTCGAGGGTCTGGGAGGCATGTACTTCAACAACTGCTGCCGCTGCCTGCCCTCGCCGGAGGCTCAGAGCGAAGAGACGGCGCGGGCCCTGTGGGCGCTCAGCGAGCGGCTGGTCCGAGAAGGGCTGGGCGGTCAGTCCAGCTAAGCACGCGCTCCGGCGAGGCTCGGCACACTCACCCACCCCGTGTGGGCACGCGTCGCTGCCAGCGCTGCACCCCTTCCAACGTATTATCCAGGTGCCCTCCCATGTCCCTGTGACTCATCCGCCGGAGGATGAGTCACAAAGGTGGGGAAAATACGGAGTCCCAATGGGAAGAGGGGGATAAATTCCAGGGCGAAGGGTCTCTCTCTCGCTCTCTCTCTCTCTCTCTCTCTCTCTCTCTCTCTCTCTCTCGTCGAGGGCTAGCTTAGGCTTGGGGCCCCTTGCTTTTCTGGTGGTGGCCTGTTTAAAAGGAAACGATTAGGTGGTGTGCGGGTTCTTTGCCTCATTGTAGAAGTACAAGCAATTCTCCCTCGCTGTGTAGAATAGTCTGGTGCCCCGGTTTCACCCAGCCACCACCACAGCCCCAGCCCGGCAGGGCCACGCTGCAGCCGGGAGCTGGCTTTCTCCTCTTTAGGGACGAAAAAGCGAATGTTTATCCTTCTTTGCTGCATTCATTGATCCAGGAGATAATTGTTTCATTCATCATGACCAAGTCTAAGTGGGCCTGGCAACTACTGGGGAGAGAACTCTGAACCTCGTTCCAGCCAGTGAAGATGGAGATGACACTGAGAACCGGGTGAAATAGACAGAGCTAGTGGGTCGCAAAAGTACTGGTGCTTTGACTCCCCTGCCAAACCATACGAAAAGTCCTTTAGGGATTATAGCAAACAAATTTTTGCCAAGTGTTTCCTCCATACTCCGACAGGCAGGAAAGGAAGGAAGCATTGTGTCCGTAAGAATTTACGGGATAATTTTGGGGTGGGGATAAAAAGACATTCCTTCCATCCTTCACTCAGTTTCAAGAAGCAGCCTGATGGTGGAGGTTCACAGCTTCTCAGCACTCCTGCTTTCGCATCCTCTTTAAAATTCCTGTGATTTCTCCCATCCCACGCTTAATAAAAGAACATGCTTGTATATTATCACCTGAAGTTTGTATCGTTTCTTTAAATGTTTGTTTCAGTTTTGTTATTTTTTTTCCTTTTTTTTTTTTTTTTTTAGTGGTGGTAGTTTTTTTTTTGGTTTTTTTTTTTTAGAAAAGAAATCTAGAAGAAAAATAAAGCGTTTCTTGTAGACGCCAGGAAAACACCATTCTCGTTTCTTCTCTGAGTTTGTTTTGTTTTGTGCTTTGTGGCTATCTGTGGGCCAGGTCGTCTCACGCAATTAGCATGCCAGCATCATATTTTCTGTTGAAGAAAGAAAGAAAAAGAAAACATGACTATTGTTTAATTTCACTTAAAGAGGTTTTGTTATTACTTATGGTGGGTTGCTTCCCTCCTCAATGGTTTGTTCCCCCTGTAATCATCCAGTTCTTGGTGATGAGAGAGTATCTCTATGTATCAGAATGGGGTGACTTGGAGGCTCTTTCCCACCCAATCTTTTCTCACCTATACCTCGGTTTCTGGGACATTCCAGTAGAGATGTGAGAAACTCCATTTTGTCAAGATGGAGAGAATGCTTTTGCTGAACTGCTAAGAAGGTGGGGGCAAGTTGTGCGTGTGTCATTGTTTCTCTTCCTGCTAATGGCACCCTTGGGCCACATAACATCATGAATGTCTGAGTCGCTGGCTCTATGGCACAGTCTAGTCAAATACTATTGCTTTCCAGTGGCCCATGGCCTGGACATATCCTCCTACCTGGGTGTATTCTCCTTTGCAAAATCCTTATTATCATAGCTCCTTTAAAACTGTCAATCAGATAATGCTACTTTTCTGGTCCAAACCCTCCGGTGCTTCTGAGGTAGACTCCTTGCAAAAGTGACAATTGTAATTCTCCTCCCAATCTCCACACCGTGAGCGGTCCCCTCTCACGCTAACTCTGGCTCACCACATGACTTGCCTCAGCCAACTGGAAAGTGCTCATGCATTGGTAATTGCCTTTTCTTGCTGCTCTTGAGAACCTGGTGACCACCATATAAATGAACCTGGGCTAGCCTGCTGGATGATGAGAGATACCTGGTTGCTACCTAAACGGAGATCGAGCTAACCGTTAGACATGGGAGTGAGGCCATCCCAGACTATTCAGCCCCAGCTGAATGAACCCAGACAAGAAGAAACTCCTCAGTCAACCCACAGAACTGAAAAAAATAAACATTTGTTATGTGAAAGCACGAAGGTTCAGGATTACTTGTTACGCAGCAAATGCTAACTGATACAACTTCTCATCTCACTGACTAAAGTCCAGATTTTTTACCGTAGCCTAGGATTTCTTTTGTAATCTGTCCCTAGCTTGCTCTCTGATCTCATGTTCTAGCACTTTGTCCTCACCTATTACACATAACCACTCCAGCCTTCTTCTGTTCTTGAAATATGCCAAGCAACCTCCCTACTCAAGGTCTTGGTACTAGCTGTTCCCTCTGTGGAAATGCTTTTCTTCCAAAGACGTGCATGGCTTCCTCTCACATTGCATTCTGGTCTCTTCTCAAATGTTACCCCCTTTCTGATGAAGTGAGTTCATTCATGGTGGTACCCTCTTTGCCCATCCCTTACTCTTTATTTTTCTCCACAACTCTTAATACTATTAGACACATTATGCGTCTGTCTATTGATTATCTTCTCTCTCCACTGCCTATCATATAAACTACACTAGATTTGTCTACTTTGTTCACAACTGTGGCCACAGTGCCTTGAACTGCTTTTGTCACATAAAAAGTGCTTAATAAATTACCATTGAAGAAAAGAATGATTCTTGGTGATGAGACATCATGTTCATAAAAATAATTCTCATCGTGGTGAGGAAGATTGCAAGCCTGTGCTAAGCAGGCTGCAAAATTACACCTGATGTCTAATGTGACCACAAACCCTGCCAGGTGGCCCACCACTTCTTTCTTATGGATGAAAAAACTGAGGCCAAGATTGTCCGCACAGTTCATAATTGACAGAGCTGTGGTTCACACCTGAGCTGGTTTGATTTCGAAGCCATGTAGCTTCCCTGCACCAATGCCATCACCCCTCCAATGAGTTAGGTGCATTCTTTCTCATAAGATGCACCACCTTAAGGTCTCAGGCTGAGCAGTGTCTGACTCTAGGCATTTGGTGAAGGTGAAAGTTAAGCCATGGCAAAGAAAACTTTAGAGCATCATCAGCCAAGATGATGTCCAAGATATCAAGGAGACCTACGAGAGCAGCTGCTGGCCGCCTGCCTCCTTGCACTGGTAAGTTATATGTTGACCAGTTCACATATGGATCCTGCACCAGGCAGGTAAGATGAGGTTTGGGAGGGACTTGGCAAGGAAAGTGAGTATTGCCCTAAATCTAAAAGCTCCCTAAGTCAGATAGACCAAGTCTTCACACAATCAATCATTCGACAAATATGTACTGAATGCTACATTGTGAATATTCAAAGTTTAGGGTACCCTCTCCCAGAGTTCCTACTACAAAGGAACTTATATCTCACATAGGTAGGAAGGAGTCTTCGCAGTGTACAAGGTCCTCATCAACTTTCTCAAAAATTCTGCAGCCTACCTGAAGATAAACTGAGGCCTCAGAACCAGGCATCCTCTGCCTGCTATGCCCCAAATCCACTCAATCACACACACCAGTCCCTGTGAGCCATTTTTCTTGCCAGACACATTAATCTTACTTCCTTGGCTCATTTCATGGGAAATTGCTGGACAGGTGAGCAAGCAGGTAGATGGCAGATGGCCTCAGTCCTTTTTTAGCTTATTCGAAGCCCAAGGCAATTGCTCACCATGATACATGTATGTGTGTAGATAGATGATAAATTAGATAGATGATAGATAGGTAATAGATAGATGATAGATGGATAGATAGAGATGATATGAAATTATATGTGTAATATATATTTTAATTATATAACAATGATCCTACTCTACCTTCATCACTACTACTACTTGCAGATACTATTTATTGAGCATCTATTATGTGCCAGTTGCTGGTCTAGGCAAATCACACCCATCTTATTTTATGCTCAGATGATGAAACTGAGGTTTACAAAATAATCTATCTATAGTCCCATAGCTGGTGAGTATCAGAGGCAGTATTTGAATCAAGGTCCATCGCCTTCAAGCCATCTTCTACGTCCCACTGTTTAATGGGTAGCCTATAGACCAGCAGTACACGTGCATTAAATTTATACGATGGGTGAGTTATTGACAACGGAAGACTATTTGGCTTCCTACCCAAGCATGGGATCTGGCTCTCATCCTGGTGCCCAGTGCCTTAGCACAAACTTTACAAATTGTTTCTGTAAATGCCATTTATCCAGCAATATTGGCTTCAGCTCCAAAGACTCTTTACCGCATTCTGGTTGTAAATAAGTCTGCATGTGGCCACGTTTCCCTGGATTTAGTTTCTAACGGACTCAATATTCAGAGTTCTTCACCATTACCCTAACGCCAAAGAATCACCCAGAAAAGGAAAAGGAAACGAGCTTCTCCACAGTCATTTTCTTTCAAGTCGTTCTCTCGCTCCCCAAGTTCCTTTAAACCCAAAAGGCAGCCAGTTTCCACTTTCACGGCTGTTTATGGGAGGCCTTTCTGCAACTTATCAATAGGAAATAAGAAATTGAAGCATCCCCAGCAATGACTGAAGCTGTGGCTTGTGGTTTTGCTCTTTAAAATGGGGTTATAGGTGGTTTTGTTTTGAACTTCAATGAAGGAGGCCTGGTTACTTTCATTAAGGTCAGCACTAGGCCAGAAAGCCTTGGCTTGCAAAATGGCTGCCCGCTCTGGTCATCAGCTTTTTAGTTTTCAGTAGCTTACCTTTTAAAAAGCATCTAAAATCTCAGTACTTACCTCTTGCATTAGCTCTTTGTGCCTTTCACCATTAAACCAAACTAGTTTGAATTTTGGAATACTAAATAACATCACAAAATATTATCCACATGATCATTGGGAAAAAATGCTCTGAATTGTGTCTACTGATGAGATGATATACTAACAATAAAGGCAATTTTTGAAAAAAAAAAAAGGCTCAAATGTGACTCTTCTAACACAGATATTTTCATCGTTATTACCTTTCCAGTTTTCATACTACGTGGTTTCATGCCCTTGTTTCGTCTCCCCCCACTCAATTATCTCGTGTCTCAATTTTCACAGTTATTTTAATGGATGCCTAATAGTTTATCTTGCTGGTGGGTCCTTATTTGGCTCCTCCTGCATATTGTCACGTGCTATCTGGAAGGGTTACAAGCAGCAGAACATGGGTCTTTCTGTTTTTTGTTTCGTTTTGTTTTTACAACCTTATCAGTGTTGAGTGTTGCCACTGATTTTTTTTTTTTTTACATATTTTAACTTCGTCTATTCATAATCTATAACTTTTTATATAAAATAGCCCCAAGAAGCCCATCTCTTCATTTAAAGTATAAGCATTTTGACTTTCAATTTTCCACTGGACCAAGTTCACAATTTTAATTCAAGTGGCATTTCCGGGTGACTCTACCTTCGGTTTGGGTAGAAAAAAGAATCAGTTCAGCCAAGCTATTGCATGTTTACCACATTATTCAATCAGGGAACATCCTTCCTTTTGTTCTTTATCAATCACCAATTGCCACACGACCTCGTCCGAATGCCTTGCAAAGACCAAAACTAACCCGCGAGCCACGCTCCTGTTCGTTCTGGCTTATGCATTTAACCTACTCGCTGCAGAACTGTCTGTTTTATGAAATGTGCCGCATCACTCAGAGAGATTGTCTCATATCTAAGCTGATCTGTTTACAAGGCCATATGCCCCCCTGTATCTTAGGTATGAGAGAACAAAAGCTGCTCTTGCTTTTCGAAGTGGAGATATGCAAATAGAGGTTCTCCGTCACTCACGCAGATTAAAGAGGCTCCCTGTTTTCCTCAGGCTTTCCTGATTTTATTTGATGTTCACTAGAAGCCTGTCCTTTTACTTTGGAATCATGACAATTTCTCATTTGATGCTGGGCACCCTGGGTGAGGAAATCCACTTTTAGCAAGTGT